GGACAAGCTTGATTCTTTAAAAAAAAATGGCAGAAAAAAAGAATTGTTTTGAATTTCCCATTAGTGAAATCTAATTAATGAAATTTAAGTCCTGACAGGGCATGAAACATAGTCCATGGAAGAAAATAGTATTTGGGTCCTAATAACTAGAGTGTAGCTAATATTTCCTTTAAAAAATAATATATGCACACCAGACGTGCGCACACACACACACACACACACACACACACATAGAGATCAATGAAACAATATGAATTTTAACTATTCATGTATATATTCAGTCTTTTGAAGAATGACTGTTCTTTTAAAATGCTTCTGACATGAAGAAAAAAGAAGGCATTCAATATTGAGTTTATGGAGATTCTCAGTCATTTAGGTCATGGTTGTCCCAAAGGTGCTTTTTCAAAAGGCAACTAGACTTTGTTTTTCCTTGAAGACATTTTCCTTCTCATCCAAGAAGCTTGAACTGAAGAAGCTTCTTAGATGAGAAGCAAACCATCTTTAAGGAAAAAAACAAAGAAAGTCCAGTTGCCTTTTGAATAAACATCTTTGGGATAGTCCTGAGCTATACCTTAAAGAAGCCTATATATGCTCAAAATAAGAGTGCATGTGTGTATCCTCCTCAGATGAAATTACAAGAACCAAATATTATAGATAAAGCAATGAAAATTCTTAAGGACCACAAAATTCTTAAGGACCACAAATATTATAGATAAAGCAATGAAAATTCTTAAGGACCACAAATATTTGAGTTTTCAATATGCATCCTGCAATTACTTAGTTATGCAACACATTATATTGTGTAAGGAAATTTTAGCCACACAGTTACTTCATTTCTAAATTTTAATGAAATTTCACTTTTAATTATGTTGCACTTAAGAACTTTTAAAAGTCCTGGATTGTTTAGGTTAAAGCCCAACAGTGCATAGCAATGCAGCAATTCCACTGATGCATTCAACTTTATCTGATTATTTTTTTTCCCTCCAGCAATTGTCTCTGTAGAAGTTCTCAGTTTCTTTTTGGAGTTTCTTGTATTTATATATATAAAAAAGCCTGAGGAATTACTGTGAAAAACTTGTAAAAGAAAACCAACCTTGTAAACCCTAGATATCGTATTATTTATTTATGGTTTAATTATTGTTATGGTTTCAAAATTACCTTTTTTATTCAGAAAAATGCATAAGGCAGGGAATAGCCTATGCAAGATTTTCTGTCTCTTGATGAAATAATTACAATAAAATAAAAAAGCAAATAATAGTCATAAGGAAGCTGTTGATATAAAGACTATGAACTGTGTTAAAGAACACCAAGAAAATAGGATGGTTTAGATTGCTATCTTAAACTGCATCAAGAAGAGAAATGAAAGGGCTGCTTCATTACATAACCATCAGCTCTAAAAAGACTATATCCTAAGTGTTTTGTATTTATTTTATTTTCTGGGTCTTATATGCTACTCTGATCCATCAGGACTCTGAACATGTCACATTCACTTCTTACAGTATAAAGATTGAAATAGTAAATCAATTTAACAAAATAATATAATAAAAAATAAAAAATAGGAAAGATATTACTATCACCAAGAAACAGTGAATGTTATGTATCAAATTCTGTACCTGTCAACAGTAGTGTCCCCCAAGGCAGTGTTCTAGGACCAACTCTCTTCATACTCTACATAAATGACCTCTGTGATCATATTAAGAGCAACTGCATCGTCTTCACTGACGATGTAAAGCTATTCAACACCACAGACAATACTGCTACCCTTCAAAAAGACTTCGACTATGTATCAGAATGGTCAAACAAATGGCAACTTCAAATCTCAACAAATAAATGCTCTATCTTACATATTGGCAAAAAAAAAATCAGAAAATAAAATACAGGCCGAATAGTCAAGACCTTGTTGATGACCCAAGCTCTGTAAAGGACCTTGGAATACTCACCTCTAATGATCTGAGTGCTAGAGCCCACTATAACTACATAGCCAAAAAGGCATTAAGAGTTGTTAACCTAATGTTACATAGCTTTTTCTCTGATAATATTACACTAATAACTAGAGCATACAAAACATTTGCTAGACCAATACTCAAATACAGCTCATCAGTCTGGATCCCACATTATGTATCTGATATTAACACAGTTGAGAAAGTCCAGAAATATTTCACAAGAAGAGTTCTCCACTCCTCTACTCATTGCAGAATACCTTATGCCACCAGACTTGAAATTCTAGACCTAGAAAACCTAGAACTACGCCGCCTTCGGTCCAATCTAAGTATAAAATCATACATTGCAATGTTCTACCTGTCAATGAATACTTCAGCTTCAACCATAACAATACTAAAGCAAACAACAGATACAAACTCAAGGTTAATCACACCAAACTTGATTGCATGAAATATGACTTCAGCAACAGAGTGGTCAATGTCTGGAATACTCTGTGGTTTCTTCCCCTCTGTGGTTTCTTCCCCAAACCCAAAAAACTTTAACCTTAGACTGTCTACTATTGACCTCACCCCTTTCCTAAGAGGTCTGTAGGGGGGCCATGCATAAGTGCACCAACATGCCTACCATCCCTGTCCTATTGTTTCTTTTATTTTTCTTATCCATGTATTTATAACTATGTTTTTACTTATACCTATTACCTTGTAAGCAATTGACAAACCAAATAAAATAAATAAATACATAAATAAATAAACCCATGCTAGGCATTCCCAATACATACCAGACCCATGCTTCCTTAAAAAGCCAAGTTATTATGCCTTTCTTAAAACGCAAATCTGGGAGGCAAACTATTTTAAGCAGTAGCTGCAACTGAGAAGATTCTGCTCCATGACCCTGTAGATGTTGTTAATAGTCAGAACCTGTGAGCCTGCCCTATTAGATAGGAGAAGTCACTGTGAGTAAAAAATTGTATGTTTAGAAGACGCTACCTTATGAAAAAAAAAAAAAAGTATTTTTTAGCAGAAGACATTTTAAAACAGTATTTTTTATTTTTATTTTATTTAATATTACAATTAAGAAAACAAAACTAATTGCAAAGAAGGAAGGAAGGAAGGAAGGAAGGAAGGAAGGAAGGAAGGAAGGAAGACTATAGGAATATAGAAAAAAATACGTATTGAGAAATAATTTGTCCCTTTATCACAAGCATAAACAATTTCAATAAATTATCACCTTCTCTTAAAATACAGCAAATGATCTCTTGTTCCCATATTCCATCTCTTATCTATAAACAAATCCTTAACAAATCCTCATTGTTTAGTCTTGATCAGCAAATGTTCATTAAAGCTTAGTAGACGTAATAGCTAATATATTTTAACTTTGGTCAAATAAATTATATTTCTTCCTTTTAACAGTCCTAAATTTTAGTCCATTCAATTATCGTCCTGGAAGTCTGTTAATTTTTTTTGTACCCTTTCACAACATTTTCCCAAACTTCAGCACATCTCTTTTCTAAATCCAATGTAGAAAAGTTATCCAGATCATTGTTTTGGTTTATTATTTTCATATCTCTTTTGAGTTATTAATATTGCAGATGCTTTTATTTGTTTAACCCAGTGTAGCATATTTTTCCATATCATTCCTGAAGCTTTGAATACAATTTCAGGTTAGTCTCAATCTTGTCCAATAAAACTTGCTCCTCATTCATAATTTTTAAATACAATCTGTCTATAATGGCAGACCTCTCCCTGTCCAGAGAAGAATTGCAAACAGTCACTTGATTTGCCAGTTGTTCATTCTGCATAGTCATCAGGTCTGCTCTTAGTGAAGTCACATTCAGTTTGCCATTTCTTCCCTGGTCGTTAAAAGCATGAAATTGATCAAGTATTAGATTAGTCATAAAAATTGTGTTTCTCACATTAAAAAGTGGATTAGAAATATCTAACTTCCCAAAAGTATTAGCCATTTATTTAAGAAAAATGGTTACCCTCATTGATATCTCCATTATATAGCTTCATTTGTGTATTATAACATGTATCTTATTAAATGTATTAAAATGGCACTAACAATATCACAATAAATTGAATTAACATCTCCAAATTGTTGTACAACCTTTACTGCTTCATGAATCAACTGCACTGGGAAATTAATCAGAAACATTCTCATCGGAACAAAGAAATATTTTGTGGTATAACTGAAGGATTCAGAATACACAAAGGACATGAAAGAGACAGAGACAGAAAACACTTGTGACCATAAGGCTTGGCCCAACTAAATTGTGGCTTTTTTATGACAATTATTACTTAGCTGTAACAAGTGTTTTGGGAGAAAAGCCCTGTAGAACCAAATTTAACAAAGTTATAACAAAGCTATATATGTATTATCTGAATATATGTGCATGTGGAGGGGGGCTGTTTGAGTGTGGTGCCTCAAGTGTGTCTATTGACTCCTGGCAACTGCCTAGACAAGCCACTTAAGTTGTTCTATCCACTGATTTCCACCCCTATCAATTATGATTTTTTAAAAAAAATATGAGTCAATTTGGTTGACCTATCAACCATTAGATACCAGCAAGGAGAAGGGTTTTTTTGGGGGGGGGACGGGGGACAGGGTGGGTGCATGTCTTGACTGCAATGTAGTAGCCATCTAGATTTCTTTATGTACTAGATATGCATTACTGAGAAGCTGAAGTTTGAGAAATAATTTAACTATTGGGGATCATAGTGGGGTTATAAGCTATCCTAGAAGTAGTTATATAGTATAGCTCATATGGTGTTATTTTAAAGACGTTCAGTTGCTTAGCCGTTAGAGTTCACCAGCTGAATTTGGGCAGGTTCATTGTTTCTTGAGATACTAAAAAATGACATTTTATATTTTTATTTATTTATTTATATTTCACATTTCTGAACCACCCATCTACCTCCAAGAGAACTCTACTGGAGTGATTGATTGAATGATTGAATTATTACTGAAATATTACCTATTAGGTGTTCCAGATAACTTCTTTTAACTAAATGTTTTGCTTATTTCTAGTAACATTACAGTGTTCATTTTTCTTCTCTCAGGTCTAAAATGGGTACTAGCAAAGATCCAGACATAGTCCACATGGAGACAAAAACACTGGATGGCCGTAAGTGCTGTGACCACCTTTTTATCATTTTCTCAGAATATAATTATGTAATCTACCAGCATTCATCTGAATATAGGATTGCATTAGGGAGATCCAGTTGATGCTTTTAAGATTATTTTCAATCTGGTCATGCAATAAACATTTTGAAATAAATAGAAATTGAATATAACATTCTGAAATAGAAAACAATATTTTCAGAAGTAGGAAAGATTTGCAATTTGTGACAAACTGAAAAAAGGCATAAAATGAAATATACATAATTCATAACAATATATTTTCTAGTAGGCATCATTTGATTTGCTAAAAGGTAAAATCTTCAAGCTTTTGACCCTTGGTTTATCTGTAACAAACTAGCCCTTAACTTTGAATAAATGGAATGAATGGGGATAATATTGTATTTATTCTCATCTTCAATTTACTCTTCCTGAGGAAAAGTTAGCAAAAAGGTAAATTGTTTGCTTTCATTCAAAAATCTTCAGCGTTGACCATTTTATCTACAGCCTATGATTGCTGTAATAGCTTAATTATTGTATTTATATGCTCACACTATATATGACAATAAGATTTACTGGTTATTTTCTATGTACAGTGCTTAGATATTGCTCAAACTGATGCTGTCAGATATATTTGGACTAAAACAGTGGAATTTTCAGCTGGAATAACCAATTGATGGGAATTTTGAAAATTTCAATCATAACACATCTGAAGGACAAAATATTAAGAAGGTTACTTTAGGAGGAAAAGTTATTTTGCTTTGTTCAAGTATCGATGGATAAAGATTTTCAAATTTTAAATTTCAAATGTCACTGTTAATTGTACTTTTTTGTTTCTCTACAACACGGGTGTCAAACTTGATCACATAACATGATGTCACATGACACATCATGACTTTTTTGCCTTTGCAGAGCTGGGGTGGGCATGGCCTCCACGTGATGCATCCAGTCCATGGGCCACCAGCTTGACCCCCCCCCACCTTGTTCTACAACATACACACATGTACTTTAAGATAGAATGAAATGTATTAGGGCACATTCTGCCATTCATTCCTTAGGTAGCCAATCAATTTTAAAAATGTACATTAATATTGTACATAGTGTCAAGGTTCCGAGTAATGAACCCAATCAATTCAGTACTCCAAGATGAACAACTTTCTCAAAGAACTGTTTTATTGAGTACGTAATTTTGGCATGCATGAAAACAAAACCATTTCCCGCGTTTTCCGTATAATTAAAGAATAGATAATTCCCTCTCTCATTGTCACAGGTCACATTGTCCAATTAGGCGTTCTGCCATCTATCTGGCAACTCCTTCTAGTCTCTGGCCAGCACCTATTGAGATGATCTTGGTTGATCTGTTGTTATTTTCTGGTCTGACGTTCCAAACCTTTCCTCCCTCCCATACTATGTAGCAAGCTGAGAAACAGAAAGATAGCTGTGGCAGACCTGATCCATTAAAAAGTGGACACATAGCATATATGTGTGGTATTCAGCTTATATTTAAATAATATTCAGTAGTAACATTTGAAATATTTAATTTTAATCTAACATTAACATTTTGCAAACTCCAGAAGAATTGTTCAGAAAGAATAATTATGAGAAATGAAATAAAGTTCGGTGTTTATATTTCAACATTTTTAGCTAGAGATGCTTAGAAGGTTTTCCCATTCATCACTAGCTATCTTGAAATCCCTCCCAGCCCCAGGCGTTCAATATCTATTCTATTTTGATAAACAGATGAAATTAATTAGTTAGTTTACTTTATTGTCATTGCACCTCGTACAATGAAATCAAACACCATCTTCAGTGCATATCATGACCATGAAAATAAACACAAACATACATCCTTTACACTCCACACATTGAACCAAAAAACCCCAACACCGCACCATCACTGCACTATACAGTAGAACTCAAAAGAGCTACTGCCTTGGAATAGAAACTGTTTTGCAGCCTATTTGTGCTTATTTTTATTATTCTGTACCATAGAGTGGAATATGGTGTCAATTTCCATATTTCTAAAATTATTTGCCCTAAATAAGACATACTAATATGAATCAGTGTTATAATAGTATTAGGAAGATGCTCTCTCAGCATAACCACCCTTTAAGTCAATAAAGTTTTTGAAAAGATCAGTGGGACCACAAGACCCAAACTAGTATCTGAATTTCAGATTTCTTTGGGATCATTAAATATCAGAGAATGTACTGAGTAAACAGTCCTTTTATTCTATAATAAATCTGATTCTTTCTTACAGTCCATTACACATCTCCTTCAGCTATCCAACACTAAATTAGCCCATTGTGGCCCTTCTTAATTCAGTTTTTGTTTTGGCCAGTGTGATGTGCAATTAAATGAAATTTAGTGATTCCATCTACACTAACCTTATCAGTCAAGCAATCCATATCTACTTTTGTAATCAGGATGCAATATTCTTTTCCTAACAGTATTTTCTATTGGGTGTCAAAGATGACTTGCTCGTACTATTCTTTTCTGTGGAGGTTGAGGGCAACTGGTTGCAGGTAACAGATGTGACCCTGCCTTTCAAAGTAGAGTACCAGTGAGTGAGGCAGTGACCCAGGGAACCAGCTTCATCCATATAGTCCAGCTCTTCTAAGAGATAGAAGCAAAACTGCACTAGGTTGCATTAAATAACCATTAAAGGATATTAATGTATCTAGACCAAGATGGATTACCATGGTTGAAATTTTTTGTCATCTTTCTATAATTTGATATATGAATTCACTCTGCAACCTAGAAACTGTGGAATAACATGGTATATGTCATATTAAGGTAAAGAAAGAATATGACATTTGTTCTAGTATCTTTCTGATGAATAAGATAAAATCCAAATAATATTGGCATGTACACCAGAGGTTTCTCGAAAGTAAAATAATGCAGAGACTTTCTTAACATCAAAAGGCAAGGATACAAGTGGTGGGTGGCTGCATTCTTCATGCATCTTTCAATAGAAATGCTTCCTCATGCTTCCTGACCTATTCTAGTCTGGTATTATTGTTTGACAGGAAATCTTCTTGAAATGAATATGTTTGTAAGCTCTGGTACAATTTTCCACATTCTAGCTGTCTAATGCTAATATCCCACAGTCAGTGAAGAAATTGAAAAGGTTGGGCATTTCAGTAAACCAAAAGTTTTCTCAGTTTAGCTACTCCATCTACACAAGGGGTGTCAAACTCACAGCATCAAGATATTGTCATGTGACATATCACGACTTTTTCTTCGCTAAAACAGGGATGGGCATGGACAATGTATGACTCATCTGGCCCATGACCATGAGTTTGACACCCCTGATCTACCCTAACCTTATCAGTGAGACAATCCAAATATAGTTTTGTAATCAGGATGCTGCATGTTTCCAGTGTTGCTGTAACAATCAAAGTAGCAGCTGTTGCTGGAGATGTGCATGCTGGCAGTGAGGAACTTAACATCTGAATTATTGGTGGGAGGGATAACATCTCTGCTAGAGAAAGAAATAAATTAATTCCAGATCTCAGCAATGAAATGTATTAATTGGCATGAATTAAGTGTAAGTAATTAGGTGCTTCCTGTGCTACTGGATAAATAAAGTATCCACAGGGATTAACTATCAAAAGAATAATTGTTGCTACATGGCTTCCCGGTGAACCTAACTTAAGGAAATAAAGGTTATTGTTATAAGATTCTGAACATATTCCCAATATTTATATTATTTTTCTGAACTTTTCCTGAAATCCTTTTAATACTTTGAAGTCTTAAGAAAGCAATTATCAGCTTGCTTCTGATCACCACATATAGAGCAAAAATGTGAAATTATAGTGATGTTGTTATAGTTCTTTACTTACATCTGAATGTCTAATTGAATATAATAATATAACATAACATAATGATATGATATGCTGTATAATGATGCGGTCAACATTTGATGTATTTTATGAATAAGAACTTTATCAGAACTTAGTAGGATATCTATTAATACAGATACATGGGAACATCAGTTGAGTATAATTGCAGAGGGCATAAAATATATTCAGCATATTCATTACCAATACAATGCAACATAGCCCCTCCCCCCCAAAAAATAGCAACATTTAGCAAAGTCTTCAGTTATTGTCATAATTTAGAAATAAATTGTGGGAAAGAATATTTCTCTCAATGGTCCAAGGTCAGACCATAGAAAGAACCACAGCATACATGCCCAATAACAAAGAGCACATCAACGTAGGGCAAACCAGTCTTTAATCTTCAGTCCGAAGCCTTGGTACACTGTGAGTAGGAACATCAAAGTCCCTTGAAAAGTCAGCACTGGGAGCTTCAGCCTCCCAACCCGAAGGCACCACACCCTCATGTCATCCAGTCACATACCCCCAGTCATCCAACTTGTGGTACCAGCCTTCCCTGCCTTCCAGCAACCACAGTTCTTCCCACCCCTTCTGGAGCTATGTTCTGTCTCCTCACACCATTGGCAACAACAGTAGTCCCATCTCGTCCATCTAAGTGGGCCAGCTGGCAAGTGATCAACTGGCCAGTACAGCCCATCTGTTCTAGACCTCTTGCAGCAGCCTCCCAACTGGAAGCTCAATCCATAGGCATTCAGCTGTTGAGCGGCCAGCTGACGAACGGAGAAGTCCTGCTGCTGCAGCTGCAGCCTCACTCATTGCTCCTGTTGCTCTTGTGGCTCCATCTGCTTTGTGAAACTGCCTCACTGGTTTATTTTGGACTGTCTCTCCAGGTATGGTGAGCCCTGGATAAGGGCCGACCCTTTCTTCATCAAGCTGTATTATGCGATGCTCTGTGGAAATCTCTGGCAGGAATTCCCTAGGAGAGTATTACTATGAACCATCTCTATGTCCAAAAGAATTAAGAAAGCTGTTTGTCCTTAGGAGAACTTTTTTTATGAAAAAACAAAAAAACAAAAAACAAAACACTGCAGTGGTGAGGGCTGATTCTTCACATAACCAGTAGTTCATTTTTCACTTGAAAAAAATGTTTTCAAATGTAATTTCCCTTAACTTTCTTCTTAGACAATTCTTTTTTCTTTCAAAAATGTAGTCATTGCTGTCAACACATAGCCTTCAGAATTTTCTGCAATAGTCCACTTATGTGTTACCATAGCCAAAAAGACAAAGTCATTCATATATTCTGTTAACATTAGATATAACTTAGAAGTATTCCAAGTCATAGGAGCTATATCTCTGTAAAAAAGGAAAGATACCGAAGAGGTCATGAAGTTCAATTTCTAATATCTTGGGCAGCTTTATTCTCTGACTCTTGGTCTATGTTTTTCAATTCTTTCTTGCTCCTACGAGACAGCATGAAGATTCACATAAACTCAAGAAACCAATGTTCACTGGAAAAAACATAAACTTCATTCAAAATGGGTTTAAGTCTTCATGTGCCTTATAGGCCCATTTAGATTTTAGCTTAGTGTAGTGAATCTGGCCAAATCTCTAGAGATGGCTCAAGAAAAAAGGAAATGATACAAAATACACAATATAAATTGCTGGTTCTGATGATTTAATTTTTAGGCCTGCAATTTAAAAAAAATAGAGAAAGCAGACAAAAGTATAGACCAGGGGTGTCAAACTTGCAATGTCACGTGATGTATTGGGACTTTTTCCCCCTTTGCTAAACCAGGTGGAGGCAGGACCAGCATGTGACGCATCTGGCCCATTGGCCATGAGTTTGACATTCCTGGTATAGACATTCCTACGTGTACTTCAGCTATCTATTCATTTGATATTTTTTTTAAAAAATCAGTTTTATTTATTTTATTCTCTTGCACACTTAAAGAAATTCAATTGGGGTTCTTTTTATCTAAAAATCCTCTAAAAGTCACAAGAAAGCAAGAAAAAGTTGTGCCTATTTATTGCACTTTCGCTCTCTTATTGGCTATCACAATGTAACTAATTTTTGCAGACAGGGATCTCTATATGAAATATTTAAGTATAGGTAATCTTCAACTTACAACCACAACTGAGCCCAAACTGTCTGTTGCTGAGACAGTTTTAAAGTGTTTTGTCCCATCTTACAATCTTTCCTGCCACAGTTGTTAAGTGAAACACTGCAGTTATTAGGTGAATAACATGGTTGTAAAATGAATCTGGATCCCTCATTGAAGGTTGCAAAAGGTGATTACTTGACCCCAGGGCATTGCGATCATCATAAATATGAATCAGTTGCCCATCTGAAGGCTGACCATGGGGATGCTGCAATGACACGTGTAGAAAATGGTTGTCACTTTTTTCATTGCTATTGTAACTTCAGACAGTCACTAAATGAAAGGTTGTAAGTCGAGGACTTCCCATAAAAGATTATGAATATCCATAGCTGGAATCGTCTTATATTTATGTGTGTTTCTTTGTGTGCTTTCAGATGCACAGTACATCACCTGTAGGATGCAGAACTGCTCTGAAGCTGTAAGAAGCAAACCTTTCCCTGGATACATTGATTCCGACTCTCTCATTGTTCAAGATGATTATGTATTTGTTCAGGTCTGAAACAGTTTTTCCCCCTTCTATTGATTACAAATCATTTTTTTCAATGTTAAACTCCCTTTCCTAACAGATGCAACAAAATAGCTTTAATACAAGCTATTTCAGGACATCACCCAATTTGTTATTCCCATTGGGATGCTAATTGTTTCTTTTGGCCTTTGGTTCAAGTACTTTGTTAACACAACGGTCATGAAGGGTGGGGTCTAACTTATGTTCAAGGTGTATGGAAATAATTTCTCTTGTCACTCAGCTCTCCACATTGTCTATTCCAAAAATGTTCTCATATTTCAACAGGTTTTTAAGTTTGCATGCCAGTGTTCCAATATTACCATTACAACAGACCAATCAAGGTTTTCTTTTTTATTAGTTTGAAATGGGACAAGATAGAGTCTCTCTTTAGAGATAGAATGGAGATATAGAAAGGGAATGCTTGAGATAAGACTAATCAGGCATGATTGTCATGTGTGGGCTCCTATTATTGTGAAAAAGGAAGAAAATTAGATATATTCAGCTGAGCTATGTTCCAGGTGGAAGCCAGAGAATATATCTGAATAGTTTTAAGTTTCATTATCTTCCTGCTGCTATCCCCATCATAACAAGCAGGAGGAAATAAAGTGCTGGCAAAGTGGAGATGAGCTATAAATTATCTGTCTTTCAAGTATTTCTTGAGGCTGAGGTTCCTGGCTTGCATCAGCATATATATTTTGAAGCTGGATTGTCTATAACCAGGAATTTTTAAGTGGGCTAAAGGTAGAAAATCCTGAACGTGTTACCAAATGCTGTCAGCTGTACCACTCTAGCCTCTAAGTTCTCTGAGAGTATCATTTCCTTCCAAATAGAATAAATATCAACTCTTCTGAGGGGTAGAACAATACATTGCCTCATTTCTTTTTCTTTCTTTCTTTCTTTTTTTTTTTTTTTTTTGTAGAAAAAAGTGTGATAAATTCGGCTACCATGGAAAATATGGGGAAAACTCTTTATTTGTTATTTCATTCATTGTTTCACACATCCATGATTAATAATGAATCAGACCTTAGTGTACACTTAACAGGTTTTACATATTCATAGTTTTGACTTTTATTTTTTTGTTTATCCATGTGTAAAAGAGAGACATACTTTTGAACATGCATAGTGTATATTTTTAAGGGCTAAGATTAAGTAACCTACTTGTGTATTTGTTCCCACTTATCATTCAATATACCAGGAGGCTGCATGTGATTTCTTCATTCTTATCCTGTAGAAGCATCCTGATCAAATGGTGATAATAATCTTTCTCACGCAGTGTGGCACATTTGTTTGCACAGCTCTTTCACAACCTTGGTAGAAGGGACTGTTGATTGTATACTAGTGCTGACCTCCAATTGCTATGAATACTCTGTTGGCAATACTGAGCAACATGATTGAGAAAGGCCCCAATAAGATTACAAAAGAACTGCAGCAGAAGCTGGCATGAGTAATGTGAAGCAGACAAAGTGATCATCTACATCACCAGTTGAAGAAATCATTCTGGGGAACAAAAATCAATTACCATGAGGAAGCCATGTGGAACCTCACAGCTGGACAAACCCAGAAAGATAAAGCAAAGAAAAAGAGACATGAATAGAAGTACAGGTGATTGCTTTGCAAGAAAGAAGGAAGACATAAATCACTATAGGTTCTGAAACCTAAAGCCTGATTAAATAGTATAAAGGAAAATCCGTAAGTGAAGAGATGCTCTGACAACCTCTACATGGTACAATTTAACTTAAATTCTGCCAATTTGAACATATATTAGCTATTTATCTCAATTTTGGGGTAAAAGTCCCCAAATTTGTCAGAACTGTAAACCAAAATGTACAGGTCACCGCAAATAATCTGTTGAAAATGCTAATTCACACCAAATAGATTCACAATATAATGTTACTTATGCAACAATAATTGGCATGGGGGGATTCTCAGAAGACCTTTTTTCCTCAATCCAAAATTATCATCTAAAATACGCAAACAAAAACATGTCAATAAGCCTGAAATGTTTTTGGAAGAAAGTGCTTTGGACTGTTCAAACAAAAATTGACATATTTGGCTATAAGCACATAGAAAATTTTTGGGAGAAAAGGTGAAAAAATATGTTGGAATCATTAAGCATAAGATGGGCTGCATTATTATTTGAAATCATGTGATAGTAGTAACATAGGAAATAATATATATGAAAAGAAGAATGAATTCAACTATATGTAACAGATAACAGATAATCAAAGTTGGAAGGGACCTTGTAGGTCATCTAGTCCAACCCCCCGCCCAAGTGGGAGACCCTACCCCATTTCTGACAGATGACAGTCCAATCTCTTCTTGAAAGTCTCAAGTGATGGTGCTCCCATAACTTCTGAGGGCAAACTGTTCTATTGGTTGATTGTTCTCACTGTCAGAAAGTTTCTCCTTATTTCTAGGTTAATTCTCTCCTTGTTCAGTTTCCATCCATTATTTCTTGTCTGGCCTTCAGGTGCTTTAGAAAATAGCTTGACCCCTTCTTCCCTGTGGCAGCCCCTCAAATATTGGAAGACTGCTATCATGTCTCCCTTGGTCCTTCTCTTTACTAGACTAGCTAAGCCCAATTCTTGTAACCGTTTTTATATGCTAGAGCTAATGTCTCACAGTCAATGAAGAAATTGAAAAGGTTGGGCATTTCAGTAAGACAGCAAAATCAGCTGTATGCCCTTCAGAGCCCCCTCAGTATATCTGAAGTCGGGAAAATCTCAAAAATGCAATATGTGCAAGGAGGTATAGAATATTTCTTAACTATAAGAGAGTATAGTGTATTTTGGTTTGGTGTAGTGGTTAAGGCAATAGGCTAGGAATCAGGAGACAGTGAGCTCTAGTATTGCTTTAGGCATAAAATCAGCTGGGTGACCCCGGGCCAGCACTTTTCTCTCAGCCCTAGGAAGAAGGAATGGCAACCACTTCCACAATCTTGCAAGGATGTGTCCAGACAGTCACCAGTCAACACTGACAGGAAGGAAGGAAGGAAGGAAGGAAGGAAGGAAGGAAGGAAGGAAGGAAGGAAGGAAGGAAGGAAGGA